TGGCATGTTTTTTCTTTTGCTGTAATAGCGATAGGAACATGTGGCTGTCCAGATTTGTTGGTGTGCCTCTCTTGTGATCACTCACCACTGGCTCTCAAGCTCCTGCTGTTTGCCTCTGGCCTCTGCCTCTCTCCCCACCTTGTATTTTTATTTGTATCTAGTCTTTCAGCCATCACAAAACAAGCTCTGAATGGTGCAGAAAAACAGCGCCGTAGATCATGATCAGCAAGACAAGAGACAGCATTTTCTTTCAAATGTTGTTGCCTGACAGCAGTGGATAGAGATGAAAAACGGAGATGTTTTGTGCTATCACACCTAGCCCTTTCAAAAGCCAAATTGCTGCTTTGTAGGGCATAAACCTTTTTTAAAAGTTAGGATTCAAATACTTTTCCTGTGTATTTGAGTACACAGAGAAATGCCAAGTAAGCCCAATATAAATCTGCACCAATATTCAGTGGGATAGGAGATGAAAAGACCAACCTGGCATGTCTAACTGAAACCTGGGTGGGAGTGGAAGCATCATGACAGGTCAAAGGGATGGGGAGAGGTCATTGTCATAAACTTCATGGAAACTCCATTAACTCTTGGAGTTTTATGTGCAGCCTCAAATACTGTCTGTAATTTGAGTAACTGGGAATGACTTTTATGGGTAGTGGTGATTATCTATCTATCCAGCACTAACCAATAATTCTGCCTTTAAATTCAAAGAAAGCCCGTCTTTCTGCTGAGTGTTCCTTTCCCTCACTTTTCTCACTGCAGTTGTTTGCTTGCTGTTGATCTGTTTGGTCAGTTGCTAAATATGTGTGCAGAAGGAAAGGGAATTTTACCAGAAAATCAAGCTCTGCTACATTAACATCAGCCCAGGTCTGGAGGGTCTTCACCTCATGCTGTACTACCAGGACCAAACAGGATTGGTGTTGGTGCACTGCTCTCCCAGCAACCCAACACGCTCCCTTCCAGGCGGACAGAATACATCTACTGCACTGTCGTGTTGAGGTCCTCCAGACTTCTGCTTCAGTGGAGTTTCAACATACAGTTGGCCGGAACAGGTCTGGAGTTTATGGAAGCCATGGCTGCCATGAGACTTGTCTTCTCATGATGTACCCAAAGTATGATAGCCTCAATTGCAATCATTTTTGCTTCTAGAGATAGTTCAGGCTTTATTTGATCCAGCATCTTATTTGTCCTTCTGGTGGTCCGTGGTATCGATCAAGCTCTCCTTCAATGTTACATTTAAAAGGAAATATGTATTTTTTTGTCCTGTCAGCTTTCTTCACGATCCATTCCATAATTATAAATTATTTTCAGGGAGAAAAAAAAATAGAATTACTACTCAGGCCAGGCTTTCCCCTCCCCTTCTCTGCTCCCTCGTCCAAAGTGTTGTACCGGGGAGCCTGAGCCAGTGGCTGGTAACTCAAGGGAGTCCTGAGTCAAAAAAGTTTGACAACTAATGGCATAAGACACAGAGACTATACAATCTCTCCAAGTGCAGTCTCTCTCCCTGTTCTCCCCCTCCATTTACTTCCACCCCTCCCTTTGTTTTCCCTACATAAGCTCCCTGGGGCAGGTACCTCCACCTTTCCATCCTGATGGCACACTCTACAAAAAGAAATAATAAAACCACAATCATTGGCTCCTGGCTTGCAAAACATCAGCACACATTAGTGAACAATCAAGTTAATGAAGAACAAGTCTGCATGTAAGAGGGAGGTGCGTTGTTTTCTTGATTAAACAAGAGGGCTCATTTCGCATAGGAACCCAAAGATGAAAAATGTAATGATTTCTCCTAGAGAGGTAAATGGTGTTCTGTCCAAAAATCTGTCTTTTTTTAAAAAAAAAATCTATCCCCCCCCAGTTCCCACCCTCCTGATGTGTTCTAAATCTGTAAAACAAAAACAATGTACTGTGGATCTCAAACAGCTGAGGCAGAACTAATTTGTGTTAAGTGATTTTGAGTGTGCCCTCTTCCTTAACAGCGTAAGTGCCTTGATGGGCCTGCACCAAGTCTAACCTAGTCCAGTATTTTTTTTTTTTTTTCAAGGACAAGAGCCACCAGCCAAGGACTCCTGAACCTAGTTAGGATACTCACTTCAGGAGCTCAGGCAAGAGAGAGATTCTTTAAAAGCAGATATGGGAAGACTTCACTCTTGGACAATCTCATTTGGTGTTCTTAAATTCCATTCCCAAGATGCAAAAGCAGTGTGTCATGTAAAAGACCACAAAAGTTGTAAAATAATATTTTGTCTTATTTTTGAAGGAGTGCATTCCTGTTACTTTTTGCAGTGTCACTTCAGGAGCTCAGGCAAGAGAGAGATTCTTTAAAAGCAGATATGGGAAGACTTCACTCTTGGACAATCTCATTTGGTGTTCTTAAATTCCATTCCCAAGATGCAAAAGCAGTGTGTCATGTAAAAGACCACAAAAGTTGTAAAATAATATTTTGTCTTATTTTTGAAGGAGTGCATTCCTGTTACTTTTTGCAGTGTTTGGCAAAGTGACCTAACAATTGTGTTATTCAAAAACAGGTTTCATTATATTGCTGGTTGGGCTGTTCATTTCTTGTGGCTCCTTTTGTAGGGGCAGGCACTAGAAAAGGATTGGTAAATGAATGGCAGAATGTGTGAAAAAAGTTAAGAGTTTTTGCAACCCTGCATGCTGCATTTAGCAACTTTGCCTGGGAAGGACCTTTCTGGGCTGGGGTGACTGTCAATTTGTCTGACACTGACAAGTCATTCTTTCCCTGCCTCTGAATTTAAAGAGAGTCTCTCCTCTCTGCTCTGTGTCTTTCCTCTCGCTAATGAAATCTGTTGCTGGAAGCTGTCATGTTTGTCAGGTCTGGCACTGACAAGTCGTTCTTTCCCTGTCTCTGAATTTAAAGAGAGTCTCACCTCTCTGCTCTGTGTCTTTTCTCTCTCTAATGAAGTCTGTTGCTGGAAGCTGTCATGTTTGTCAGTTTGCTGTTTTATTGATTTCATTGTAAGTAATAAAACTTTTTATTCGTTCTCTTAGAAACGTCTTTGAATGAGTTATTGACACTGTAAGTGCTAGTTAATGAGAAAAGGGGTGGATGACTCTGGGGTACTTGAAGTTATTCTGCTTTGTGAATGCCTGCACTTCTGCTGTACATTTCAAGTCAGCATCTTCCTCAGATCAGGGGGAAAACATCAATTATTTCCTTGCAAAACCAAGTTGTCTTGTCATGTGAAGCAATGAGGCACGGGATGGAATCACACTCCCAACCTCTGAATCCACAATGTTGGGGACTCCTGCCCTAGGAGGCACGGGGTGGAATCACACTCCCAACCTCTGAATCCACATGCCAGTACTTTAACTGCTGCACCATTCTGTCTCCCCTTGATGCTGAATACAAAACTGTATGATATTTTCAAGCTAATGTCCATGTATCCCAGGCCTAGCTTTACCTGAGTCTCTCTCTCCCTCCTCTCTTCCTCGTAGGCCTAATGCCATTTTCTCTTCCCTTCCTGGCACTCCTCCCCTCTCTCTTGCACTTAAAGTGAAAATGATGTCTTTTGTCAGCTACAAGGTGTCTGATATTACAGGGAAAGTGTGCTTAGTGTTAATGGTAGTAACTGTCAGATTGCTTCACATGACGAGACAACTTGGTTTTGCAAGGAAATAATTGATGTTTTCCCCCTGACCTGAGGAAGATACTGACTGTGAAATGGGAAATGTGTAAAAATGTGTACTGTATAAAAATTCCAGCAGATTCTTGCAGAGGTAGATGTAAACTCCTATCTGGACTCTCTGAGCTTTTCCTCTCAATGTGAAAAGCTAGCATCTCAGGGAGAAGATTGTCCAGGATCTCCCTCCCTGACTCTCCCTCCTTCTACGTCACAGGAAATGCCTACATAGTGTGATTTCCCCTTGTAATATACTCGTATATTGCCCACCCAGGAATAATCATACATTGAAGATGGGGGAGGGAGAGGACTGTCAACTTAAGCAAAGACTTTGATAGGTTTTGGGTGAGTTTAGCCCGCTTGGACCCCATTGTGGGTCTCACTACCTCCGCCTGATAATACAAGACGTGACTGGAAATCCACTTTCAGTTAACTCTGTTATTTTCACTAAAAGATAGCATATGGGGGAGGGAGAGGAAATGTACACTATGAAACTCTTGCAAAAAGAAGAAATAAAAGCTGAGATAGGAATTTATAGTTGTTGGTCAATTCCATATATTTGCTGTTGTATGTTTAGGATGATTCTCCTGCATCAGAGCTTTGAATTTCTGATAAAATCCTCTCTTTTTTGCTATACAGAGAGCTACAGAGGAGAATAGCTACAAGTCCACCCCTTTCTCATTAACTGGCACTTAAAATCTTAATAACTCATTCTGAGATGTTTGCAGGAGAAAGAATAACAAAGGTTTCTTACAGTTGCTTGAAATTACAAACTTCCGCATACTGTTTTCTTTACTGTATACATATTACCTTACCCGGGCTTCATGCTCATACTGTTTTCTTTACTGTACACATAGTAGTAACCCACTGAACAGATCAACAGCCAGCAAACAACTGCTTCCAACTTATGAAAGAGAGGGAAAGGAACATGCAGAAGGAAGTCACTATTCTCTTTCAATTCAAAGGCTTGAAGCAACAATTTGTTAGTGGAGGACACAAAGGCAATTACCCCAGCCTAGAAAAGTCTATCCCAGTCAAACTACAGGCAATGTGAGATTTTGCAAACAAAACTCCAACATAGACTTACTTATTTGTCTCTTGGTTTTCACATATCTAAATGTTGAACAGGATTCATCCTGAAAATCTCTCCAGAATCAGATTTACTGCAGTGGAGGTCTTTGGAGATGTAATATTTATGTATGTAATAAAGGGAAACTAAATATTCAAAAATCTGTTCTGCTCTTTTATAGGTTAAAAATGAATGTTTCTGATGCAGCTGTTGACCACAGTCTCTTTAACCAATTTACAGTTTCCAAATTGTTAAGACTTCCTCTGATTTTTAGTTGTTTCCTCTCTTAGGGATGACTAGCACCTGATCTCAAAGATATAGAACCAGATCAAAGAAGGTTTCTGGATCCTTAAGTTTGCACCAGTAATTGATTGCTCCCGAAGAGCAGATGAAACAGTTGAATGGATCAGCCTGGTCACAACCATGGAGGTAAGATGGATTGCACATTTGCTTAAATCAGACTAAAGCTTTCTAAATGTGCATGATTTCAATAAATTAGCATATGCAAAATAAATTCAAATTAGCATCTTTCCCCATACATTTTTCTGCTTTTGCTTTGTCTAAGGGTTTCTGAATTGCCTGTATGAGTTTGCTTTCTTCCTTGTTTGTCTGTTTATAGCATTTGTACTCCCCTGTGCAGCTGAAAGGGCTTTCAGCATGGCTTGCAGATCAAGCAAAAATAAAGCATTCCATGTTTCGAACAAAATAAATCTTTCTGTACAACATCTATTTTAGCCTATGATCAGAAGTTCAGTTCAAACTGCTCAAGGCAAAGTTCTTTGGCTGGCAGCGGAAATGGAAGGAGAACAAGCTTTTGAATGGATTAAAGAGGCTGTCGTGATAGTATCAGATGATCCCTCGGGAATGTTATCTTGCCCCAGAAGGGTTCTCTGCTGAGCAAGCAATGGGAGATGTCAGCGTAGGGTATTGTACCATCTCATTCTGAGGAAAGCAGCTTTGTTTCAAAGCTATCCCATGTGCCTGCCTGTCTCTCTGGAACGCATCTAATCCATCTTACCTGTGGTTAATAGGAACAGCTTTTCTAGAACTCAGCTGCTAGAAGGCGAGTGCAAGAGCTGAGCTGCAGTGGACAAAAGTGAGAAGGCAGGGAGAGCACAAGTGCTTTCTGATAACAGCATAGATTCCAGACCAACACACTCACCAAAATTTGGGAATTTCTTTTGTACTACAGCTCTCAGAATCCACCAGCATAGCCACAATCGTGCTAGCTACACAATTCCAGGGAGCTTAGTTTAAGAAATCAGAAACTTCCCCATGTTCATGCACCCACAAGAGCTTTCCTCCCTGTTCTCAGAAATCTGAGTGTTGCTTTTTAGTGGCTTGTATAACCAATTTTAAAAATGAAGAAAAGTTTCTCCCCAATTCCAAAATATGTTTTCTGTTGGGCATTAAATGCCTCTGCGGTTTGAGAAATGAATGCACAAGTCTCACTTGGTGAATTTTGCAGTTCTTTGTGTCCCAACCAGTATGGATGGATGTACAGTATTTACATTATTTGCATGCCGCCATTCTTCCCAAAGAGTAGCCAAGGCAGTTTGTGGGCTAATGAAGTTTCCTACATAGCATGATCAGTGCCTGTTCTGTGTAGGGGACCCTGGAAGTTGAAGTCTTCTTTCCTTCCTTCCTTCCTTCCTTGGGGGACCCTGGAAGTTGAAGTCTTCCTTCCTTCCTTCCTTCCTTCCAACTAGAAGGGGAAAAAAAGAGATAAAGTTACAGCCAGGTTCTTCTGCTATGCAGTGTGTGTGTGTTCATTATCTCAGAGGGAAGCTTAGATCATGATGTCTTCCTTTCTCTGCTTTAGATGGCAACTGGCGAGCCTTGATTGTTTCCCCTTAATTATAGCATCTCCGTTGAAAACTTCAAAAGCTCTCTCAAACACTATTGTGCATTATGATAATAGCTCCCTCTCCTCTCCTTGATTGCTACACTGGGCTTGAAACGGAGCTCTCTGGTCCTCTGAGGAGGAGGCAAAGAGGCTCCATAATTCTCCCAACCCAGTTTATATGGCTTTATGCTTTCAGCGTTGATTCTTTGGGGAGATCATTTACTTTATTCTCTCTCCCTCCTTCTTTTCCTCACTCTCTCTTTTCTTTCTTCTATGGGAATGTGCAATGGCTTCTCAAATGAGTTACAAAGCACTTGTGATAGAAGATGGATGAACCTGAGGATCACTGTTGATCCTGGAAGCTTGCTGCCTTGATTAGAAATTCAAGTGTTGCTGCTGTGGCTGTAGGGTTAAATCCAATTTAATTCCAACCAGAGCAGATTTATTGAAATCAATGGAACTGATGCAAGTGGTGACTATGAAGACCCGTCTATTTTAATAGGCCTGTGCTATTATATTTATAATAATAATAAAGAAACTCACATTAGAAAAACTGGGAAGCCTGTAATTCTTTGCCGAAACCCAGTCCTTTGGATCTTGGTTCTCCAGTGGATGAGTCATAGGACAGGCAAACCATCCCATCCTGGCCTGCTACTGTAGAAAGACCAGAAAGGTTGAACAGCAGAAGCTGCTCAATTATTATTAATTTTTTAAAAAAATCTTAAGGTCAGCATCATCATCAAGTGCACAAAGAAGAGAATCTGACCTTTGGAAATGGTACATGTTGTCAGTGTTCCCGTTGGGAGATTGACTCCAGTAGCTTGCCGAAATGCCACTTGTGCTAAAAGGCAGGGGACCGGAACTTCTATCATTTAGAAACCATGTTCTCTTATCGGTTCATATTAATATTTTGCTATGTGAGACCAATCTGGCTTCTGAAGCCTTTGTTAAAGACAGGGAATATATGCATACATGCATTCTATGCATCCATAAAGTGTCACAAACTTTCAAATTCTGCAGAATTCTGTGCCTCAAAAACCTAATCCATTTTGGTGTTCTTAATAGAAGTGAGGATTTCCAGTGTGGTGTAGGGGATAGAGTGATGGACTAGGACTCTGGAGAACAGGGTTCAAATCCCCTCTCAGCCATGGAATTCACAAGTAAATTGGTACAACCACTCCTTCAACATCTCACTCACCTTGAAAGCCTTATTAGAGTCAATATAAGTCAGTTACAAGTTGTCAGTACAGAACACACACAATAGAAGTATGTGTTTTGGTGTAATGGACAGAGCGTCTGACTAGGTGCTTACATGACTCAGTTGAAGCAGGCTGGAGTAGGCCAAATAAATTTACTTAAGGTTGGGTGGAGGTCTGTATGCCATTTGGTGGGATCCTTGCATTCAAATGGCACATGTGTTTCTGGTGCCCCTCTTTTGTTCACTTCCCTTAAGAAAACAACAACAGCCCCCTCATTTCTCTCTCCTCTCTCCTTCCGGGAGGAAGTTTTCAATTCAAAAATTTTCTAAGTGGTATAGCTCATTGGCAGTTTCCTAATAGATTAAAAAAAAACATTTTGCTTTTTCCCTTTCTCCTTCCATGGAGGAGCAGAGTAACTGTTTGATTTCCCAACATTGTGAACTGACTAAGCTGTCTTCTTATGCCACTTAATGATATCAGGAAATTGAAAAGTGATTCAGGAAACCTTGGTTCAAATCCTCACCATGGAAACTCAGTGGGGAGATGATGCTGGTAAAGCCAGTCTTTAAATCTCTCACGTACCTTGGAAACCCTATTAAGATCACCACATGTTGGATGCGAATTGGTGGCATATAACAGTAATAGAACATTTCCAAAATGATGGACTGGATGGCTATTGTACGTGTGTATGTGTGTTAAGTTTCATTTCTTCTTTTCAACTCTTGTGACATTGTGAAGTAGGAGTTATCATGCTAAAACAACTTAGCAGCGGGGAGAGTTCAACTGTCTGTAATTCCTGGCACTTCCCCCTAAGAGCTACCTTTGTTTCAAGCAGCAAAATACCTTGGGGCAGCCCTGTTTAGTCGAGACAGTAGGCAGAGGAGGGAATTGGCCCATTTAGAGCACTGCAAATGAACGAAAATTTGTGTTTTCCTTTGATGAAAGATATATAGACTTGAAGCACATGTCAGAAGGTGAAGAGAGGTATACAGCTGCAGGTTCTTAAAAATCTATATTCCTCCCCCCTCTCCCCACATGTGATTAAAAGAATCCTGTGTTGAAAGACACAACCAGAGCTATTTATATCACTGAATAGGATCCCACCCACCCCCCTTTTTTTCCTCTAGCAAATACCACCCTGGCTTTGTAGATCTAAGGGACCACAGTCCATTGCTGTGAATCTTAATGTTAAGCCCTCATCAGCATTTCAAACCCTTCCGGAAAATGTCGTGGCAACTGTCTTCTCCGTAGCAGGGAAAACATTGCAGGCAGCAATCAAAATGATATTTCTGTGCATTGCAAGAAGACTGGAAGAGGAGGCTGCTTTTCCAGCAAGGAGTTTAAATGGATTTGGGGCCACAATGGACGGTGGAAACCGTGAATCATTGATGGAGTTATTTTTCATTTATCCAGATTATCTCTCTCTTTCTCTTTCTGCCTTTCTTTCGAGCGGATGTATCAAATATTGCATGGTATATTCAGAAAAAAGCTACCACCCCTTGCAAACAAATGAATGTTCAACATATCCATTCATAAAGGGTCATTTGCAAGGGGAGGTATGCAAATGTAACGGGTTTTAGGCTGAGAGGGGCCACCTGTGACTCAGGTGTTAAAGTGAAGGCACACCATCAGATGAGATTCTTGTCTGTCTCCCCTGACATAGCTTGCTGGGTGGGATGTGTGTGTATGTGTGTGTGTATATGTGTGTGTGTGTGTATATGTGTGTGTGTGTGTATATGTGTGTGTGTGTGTATATGTGTGTGTGTGTGTATATGTGTGTGTGTGTGTGAGAGAGAGAGAGAGAAGGAGCAAGAGAGGGTGCCAGAGAGAAGGAGTAAGAAGTGGATGTTAATAAGAAAGAGATGTGAAAGTGAGTGTCTGAGAGATGACAAAGGGGTAACATTCACACTATGTATCATGAGAGTGGTGGGATGGGAACAAGAAAATGTGGCCTTGCTTATCTTGGGATCTGGCCTTGTCACTGGAGGGGGCCTCAACTCTAGCAAAATTATCTGGTTTTGAAATAGCAGGAATCCAACCCAATGAAAATCTGCATTGGTGATTCCAGAGAGGTGGGCTGTTAGAACAGGATGATGGGGTCCATTCAGGGTACTTCAGGCGCAAGGAAAATGACTCTATCTTCAAAAAGGGCAAAAAAGAGGAACCTGGGAACTACAGGCCAGTCAGCCTGACGTCAATCCCAGGCAAAATTCTGGAACAGATTGTAAAGCGGTCATTGTGCAAGCACCTAGAAAACAATGCAGTAATAACTAGAAGCCAACATGGATTTGTCAAGAACAAATCCTGCCAAACTCATTTTTTGATCAAGTAACCTCCCAGATAGACAGAGAGAATGCTGTATGGTATATCTTGACATCAGCAAA